GGGGAGGAGGAGGAAGAATTGGGAGATTAACAGGATTAGGAGGGTTAGGAGGATTGGGTGCCATTGGAGGACTTGGTACTCTGGGTGGGCTTCATATTAAAGTAGAGCGCTACGGAGAGGGAGAAGATGCTCAGCTGCACAACTCACAAACTTCTTCAGAGGAGGAGGATGACGATGACGAAGAGGAGGAAGACGTCTTGCAAGATTGCGACAGCGCCAACGCCGGAAACAAGCTCCAGAAGAGGCGGAAAAGGAGGAAAGTGCAGAAATGGGATGGACCCCGAAGCAAGAGGCTCCGTCTCTCCTCGATGTCGCCTAGTCCCAACAATTTAGGAGATACTACACCACTTGTTGACCAATCCCAGACCTCCTCATCTGCTAACTCCTCCCACCTCCTCACCTCCGCCGGATCCCCAACAAGTGCATCGTCCTCAGTCCTGAAGATCAAGACGGAAATGGCCGAGCCGATCAACTTCGACAACGACAGCAGCATCTGGAACTTCCCGCCCAACAGAGAGATCTCTAGAAACGAGTCTCCGTACAGCATGACCTCCAAACCGCCTCCCCCCTCTTCCCATGAGAACTTCCCCTCACCCCAGGGGGGCATTCCTGAGTCCGTCCTCACCCCTCCTGGCAACGACGGAGGATCCGGGGGAGGAGGGAGGAAGCCTCCTTACAACGGGAACTCTGTACCGTCTTCATCTTCTTCCAGTCTAGCCCCTCCGTCCAGCGCCTCTTCCTCCGACCCCCTATCACCACCTCTCTCCGCTTCACCTCGGGATAAACAACAACATCAAGGCACTCCGACAACCTCTTCTTCCTCATCCTCTTCCTCCACCACCTCGTCCTCCTCGCTGCTGTACTCTGGTGATCTCGAGGCGTTACAGCGTCTACAAGCCGGTAACGTCGTGCTCCCGTTGGTCCACAGGGTCACGGGAACTCTTGCCTCGACGAGCACCACCTCTCCACGAGTTTACACCACCGGAACCATCCGGTACGCGCCCGCGGACGTGACCTTGGCCATGGCTCAAGGCAACCTCCTCCCAAATGCTGCCATGAACTTTGGCGATGGCTCCGGGTTTGGTTTGGACCCTAAAACGCCGATGGAGATGCTTTACCACCACGTTCACCGGCTCAATATGTCGGCAGCAGCGGCCGCCGGTGGTCCCTTTATCGGATCTCCGACATCCACGGTTGGAAACGGCGCTCTCGGAGGCCAGATGCCGACGGCAGCCAACGTTTTCACGACGGCGGAGGGACTTTTCTCAACTCTACCGTTCCCAGTGTACAGCAATGGGATCCACACCACACAGACAGCTCTGGAGAGGAAGGAGGATTAGTAAGAGGCGTTCGAGACCGCATTACTGTGTTTCTGGAATCAACAACTGTGACGAAGTTAAAGACTACTCACTCGTAACAAAAGAAAAAAAAGACTTGCGTTTTATCAGCACTGTGTTCCCGAGGGGAGGAAGGATGACAGATGTACTCTAGCACTTTGAATCTGAGCAACTGAGCTTGTGTAATAGACATGAATGACACTCAAACATGTCCCCCTTTTCTAACTCTCTCCTCTCTCTCTTTTTGCTCCTGTCTCTTGCGATCAGCAGCGTTTTTTGCTCTTGAACAAATGAACAAAGACTATTCTTCATTGTAAAGAATTTCTTTTTTTGCCTACAGAGAATTCATATTGCCTAAGGACTCCGCTGGAGCCTGACGGGGATCACTTTTATTATTTCTCTTGTTTCTGTTGCGTCTTTCTGAAGATGCTGATTGTGTGTATTTAAAGGAGGACGGTGCAGGGATTTGTAATGGACAGAAAAGTCTTTGTGGCGCTCCTCCCGATGTATCTTGATGTGATCAAGGCTTGAAAAGGACATTTTTTAAACGGAGAAGAGGGAGCTCAGAGATAATAATCTTTTGAAAAAAGGTTTTTGAGGACGTTTCTCGACTGAGGGAAAAGCTAAGAGAATTAACGCTGTTATTCTTTTCATTTCTTCCTTTTTTTTATAAAAATATACTAGCTCAGATTTAACTCACAAATCAAGCATTGTGAAGAAAAACTAAAAAAGCAATTTCAGCCGGGTAACGACCTGTGAATTATCGAATGTTACTACTTCCTCTTTTATCCCAGGAGTTTACCTACAGGTCTCGCACCAAACATAACCTCCTCTACATCTCCTTCATCTCACTCTGTCCTCCTCTCTCTTGTCCCGCTGTCTACCGGATCTTTCCGTCTACATTTCTTCCTGTCGATCTTCAGATTCATGGTGCTATCGAGCGTCAGTGACCCTGATCAGCTGGCTGATGTGGGAGCTGTAAACGAACCCACAGACTGATCGTGTGTTTAGTTTTGGAGGGGGAACAATCCTACTTTTATTTTCTCTTCTGACCTTCAGGAAAGTCAGAAACACAACAAGAACCTGAGAACCTCTAAATCCACAACATCATCTCCATGTTTCGTCCTTTGTTTGTCTTAGAACAAATGTGATTGGGCCATGAGGGGCAACCCCGCATGGCAACATGGAGGTGATTGGTTGAATTTAATTTGCTACACAGTGTTGTTTTTATTTTGTATGTATCTTCTAACTTAATCACTATTGGCACCATACTCTGCATGGCAACATGGAGGTGATTGGTTGAATTTAATTTGCTATAGTGTCATTTTTATTTTGTATATGTCTTCTAACTTAATCACTTTTAATTCTCAGTGAGACTGAGGCTAATATGCTAGTGGCGCTAACTTGAAAAATGAATGTTAAAAACCTCGACCGGATCCTGTTTGATCGCTGCTTAGTTTGATTTGTACTACTTTTTTTAGCTTTTTCCCTCCTCCTCCTCCTTCTTCCTTAAAACAGAATCACCTCCACAAGGTTTTCCTAAACAATCCACTCTCTTCCATCTCATTGCCGGACCCTGTGATAAAACGACACATATCAACAAGGAGATTGTATTAAAGATGTGCATTTTCAATCAAACTATCAAACAATCAATCCAATAACTACAAAAAAAGATATGGATTTTTAGAGGAAGAGAAAAGAAATCACATTCCTTTAAACGATGTTGTCTTTGTCGTTGTTCTTCTGTTCTGTGTTTCCTTCCCCCGTCTACGTTGCCAAAAAAAAAGAAATCTCACAGTGTTTTTTCAAAGCGCTTTGATTCTCCTTCATTTGTATTTTTTTTTCTTCTACTTTTTGGTAAAAAGAGAACAAAAGAAGATGATAAACAAGTAATAATTAAAACGGTAAAAAAAAAATACTGTCACGACATCCATCTTTTTAAAAGTCGACAGCCGTCTTTACCATCCTGTCATACCTTATTACCCAGTGTGATTCAGCCGTAAAACGTGTTACCGATGTGTTTAGTGTCACTGGCTGTCAAAAAGTCTCTCATGGCGACTTCTCTCTCTGTGTGTGTTGACTATATGCAGTATATACTGAGCTACTGTAGCTGTTTTTGTCCTTTGTCTTCTCTGTGCTCTATCTCTAGTGTGGGGGATGGGAAATGGGCGGGGCTTAGACAGAAAGGGGTGGAGTCTACGGGATGATTGACACCCCAAAAATGGCAACCCTCTTTGTCCCCCCGCCCCCTTCTATCTGCAGTCTTAGTGAAACCAGTGGAGGTTTGTGGAATTTCGTGTTTGGTGGCCTTTGCAAAAAAACAAAAAAAACTATTTGTAGAGTCCACCTTTTTTTCCGCTGCTTCCTTTTTGTCTTTGTAAAACCTCTTTTTGTTTTATGTTTTTTTTTAAAAGGTTTTCTAATCCTCTCTTTCTCTCTCTGCTATTGCTTTTTGCTGTTGTGTAGTCTTATACAAACCTCTTTATCTTGCTGTCCTTTCTCTCAGAGATGAAAAAGATTCTTTAACTAGCTCAAAGGTTTATGGAGCCATGTTATTTGCCGCTAAGGAATTCTGGGAATTGTAGTTTCCAGCTCTTGCATTACAAAGTATTAAATAACTAATACATATTTACATTATATAGAATACATTATGATGACAAAAAGGCCTAAAGTAGCATTTTGTAGATTTTAGTCCTGGAAAAAAACCCATAAAAGCCTCAGTTGTGAAGCATTTCCCAGAGTTCCTTGGGGCATCCTGTGTGCATTGGGTGTATTTCATTGGTTCCCACCAAACTTGTTGACTTCCTGCGCAAACTTCTCTCACGGGACAATAAGTGGTTCAAAGGGGGGGGAGCAAAAAAGAAAACTATTTCAGGACACGTGATACAAACCGATTTTAAAGATTTGTAAAGAAATGAAAAGAAGAAAAAAATATTTCGCACTATAAATCTATTTTTATAGGTGTTTTGGAAAACTGAACTGCATGTTTAGTAAGTTCGTCCGATGCGTTTCCTGTTAACGACCCCTCGTTTTTTGTTTTTTTTCGGTCTTATTTGTGTTTTTTAAGTCTGTCAAACGGGGACGTGTTGGAGGCCGGTCGGAAAAATTAAAGTCTGTCTCGTCAAAACAACGAAAGGCCTCCAACCCCCCCAACATTCACATCAGGAAAAACACGATCCGTATATCGTCTGTACTTTCTGTGAAGTCTTGTTACCGCGACTAACACGTCACAAAAAACACGTGTATGACATTTATTTTTCTCTTAAAAAGGGGGAATGTGATTGGTCCACTTGATCTGTCGGCTGATTGGTGGGTCGTTTGTCGTTGAATGTTAAATCCAGTCGTTTAAGGAGCCTTTTGTTTTTCGCGCTCCACTGGATTTTAGCGTTTTCTACTACTTTGGGCGGTTTTGCGTGAAAACAGGAGGGGGGGGGGCGAGTTGGGGGGCACATAACTCAGATGAAACCAGGAAATACACCCACATGTTACAAAAACCAAACAGCCGGTCCAAGCTGTTTCAATGTTTTTCTGTGTTTTATGTCGAAAAATGAAAACTTTGCTGGTGATTTTAAAAACGTTAAAAACCTTTATCACAGCTGCTGTCAAAAATACATAGTGTTTAAGAATTACAAATATTGAAAAATCACTTAATTTACCTGTGAAGAAACTGTGTCTGTGTTTTTAACTATTTCTTGTACAATTATACAGATTCTTTTATGAGGAACTTGGTGCCAAGTAGCTGAAATACGGGAGAGAGGGAATCTCTTATTATCAATGTTAACAGTGTTATACAATTCTAAATACAAACAAATTAAAATATTAAAAAAGAGAAAACTATGGTACATTTCTATTTGTTGTTTTGATTATTTTCTCCTCGCTGAAGAGGGGAAAGACACACGACTAACTGATGCTAACTTTGAGTGCCTGGCTTATCTTTTGTTGTTATTATTATTGTTTTTGTAAGACATCGTTATGAGTTCATTTATCATGAATAATGCTGCAAATCGAAAATGTACATACTTCATTTTTATAGCAGTTGTTCTTTTATAAGTTGACTAGGTTCCCATCCGTTCTGAGGAACGTCACACACATGGTCGTCTTTCTGTAACCCGGTTTGACCATCTTACAGGTGCCATATTCATAATAAAACTTTCTCTCGAATTTGTTACCAGATTGCATCCTTTCTTCTGTTTCACACCTTCAGCCGTCCGACACTACGAATCTCAATGAGCTGCTTTCTTTCTCTTCTTTATATCGCATGTGGTTTTAGTTCCTCTTTTTAGTTTGAAGGCAGCCTGCTTGTGTTCTGTTTCCCTAATTAGAACATGATGCTGCATCTTGTAACATTACATTTAAGCAATAGCTCACGACAGGCCGTGGTATATGCTCATTATATCACAGCTAAGGGGCGTGGTTCGGCCCGACGCGAAGCGGAGGCAGTTTGCTTTTCAACCCAACGGTATACTGTTTTTCTCAGACGCGGAGGGATACTGACTTGTTGTGAAAAGTAACTTACAATTCTACCCGTGGTATACGCTCAGTATATCACGGCTAAGAACCAATCAGATTGCTTGATTTGACTTGTCCGTTTTATAATACATGTTAGACGCTTTGATCCAATGCGACATACATACTCAATACTGTGGGCAATTTGGGGTGAAGTGTCTCAGGGACACAACGACATGCTGACTGCAGTGGGGTTTGAACCTATGCTCCCCTCACCAATGCACTAGTCCACTGCGCCACAGCCTCCTTAAACCTCCCTAAAAAAATCAACTGCTGTATATGAAGGTTGAAAGGAAGGAGGAAATTCATGTTTTATGCAGCAACCCTTAAAATAATGGTGTCCAACAGGTGCAAACGAGCTACAACGGCCCAAAACATTTATATTAAAACAATATATAGAAACACCAATGTGCCAAAACACGTGCAATTAAAGAAACGTATTCACAAAACACATAACATTCACCAACTCGAAGAAAAATGTGCAGCGTTTACTAAAAGCTGCATAAACGAAATGCTGAAAAAAACTCAGAACACAACGGAAAACATGAAAAAGTGAGGCACACAGATGGGAGACCAGGGGACACTAAAGAGTGACGCACACAGCTGGGAGACCAGGGGACACTAAAGAGTGACGCACACAGCTGGGAGACCAGGGGACACTAAAGAGTGACGCACACAGCTGGGAGACCAGGGGACACTAAAGAGTGNTTTTTGAAGCATTTTATAATTCCAGCATTTTGTTTATGGAGCGCTTGAAGTTGGTGAAGATAAGTCTTTATTTCCATGGGTTTCGTTTCTGAAGCTGCAGAGCGCCTGTCGGCCACCGTAGAGCGCTTGATGATGTTGGCCATCACGCTCTTCTTTAATGTAAACATTCCTTAATGATTTAATTTTCTGAGGAAATTTAAAAAGTGTAAAAAATGTAAAGTAGACCAAATCAAGTAGTTAGTCTGCACTGTGGTCTCCCAGCTGTGTGCGTCACTCTTTAGTGAAGCTGCAGAGCGCCTGTCGGCCACCGTAGACTGATCTCAGAACGTGTGGATTTTCAAACAAAGAGACATAAGAAAGTATCTCCATGCATCTTTTCCCTTTCTCTCCGTCTCCTCGACCTTCCTCTCAGCGTTCAGTATGACAGATCAGAGAGACGCTGAGGAGGGAAGGAGGCCCCGAGGCGTTTTTAAAAAAAGAAGCTCCTGTCCACCTCCAGCAGCCAATCGGGTGTGTGCATCCGCAGCAGAGAGGTGGAGGTGGATTCATCACCTGATGTGTCACTGGACATTTGGGGGTCTCTTTACATCTGGAGAAATGAATGCTGTCATCATCTCACTTTATTAGCCACCACCATGTTCTTGAAGGTGCGTTCAGTCTTTCTAACTGTCTCACATTTCACAGGTGGAGATGCATTAAGTGTTTTTCCCTTATATGTGTTTATCATCTTCTGAAAATCGAGTTTGCACATCACTTTTTAAACTGATTAAAGCCTTAACCCTAAGATGAGAGTTACTTAAGAACCTACTACTTATTTTAAAGGTGGGGTAGGCAATTTTGGAGAAACCAGCTCTAGTGCGCTAGGATTTGAAAATACACAACCGGAAAAATCTGCCCCTTTCTTCCAGAGCCCCTCCTCCAACACACACGAACGCGCACATGACCAATGAGGGCACAAGATTAGTTTGTGCACAGATGGAAGGCTGACAGGCAGGTAGGCCATCCAGTTATTTTAGCCGACCGGCTCAGATGATTGGTCGTGCTTTTTACAGTACTACGGCTTCCACAGATTATATGTTTTATGGATTTGTTGTCAAAGCACTTCAGATATTCATTGCTATCGGGATGTTAAGAGCATTCCATGGAATATAACAACAAGTGTATCTCGAGCCGGTTTCTCAAACTTACCTACCTCACCTTTAACTTGATTTGTTTTGTAATCATCGATTTCCTTGACATTTGTTCCAACTTCTTCTTCCAACCACGACTAAACTTCCCTGCAGATGTTCAAATGACATTCCCCTGACTGTGGATAAAGTCTCAACTGTACCAACATAACCTCATACTTAAAAATATTCACAACTAAAAAGTGCAAAACACATCAGTGAAGCATCAGTGGAGGCCCAGCCCAAACTGGCTTTCAAGGCAGATTAACAATGTTTATGAACATCATTGTATGAAACTCACTGATTAAAGGAACCATGACTAGTATATTCTGTATTCTTTATTTGACATCCATCCAAAAAATGAGGCGTAGGTGGAATGAATGCAAATGAAGATGTCTAGCTGGAGAGACGACTCGATTTAGAAACTTCTGTAGAGCCTAAATGTAATATTACCGTAAGAGATAATGTCAATAGGCAAAATAGAGTTGATTTAATGTGAATTGTTCTGGGCAAAATCATCGAAAAATGTAGAGGAAAGACAAAATACTTGGTTGCTTAAGACCTCCTCGTCCATGAAAGCAGACACAGAAATGTCAGAGAGTGTTTTTTGTCGTCTCTAATCAACACATATACAGATCATAGTTTCTGCGTTGACTAAAATGACTCACCCACACACACAATCAGCTGACACGTAGCCTCACTGATGAGGGGGTTTCAAATGTCATTCAGTCTGATTATAAGGCTTCGTTCTCCTCAAAAAGCCTCTATCTGTATATTTATCCACCTCTCCTTGTCTCTTCCACTTTTATGACCTCCCTCCCTCCCCCTTTTCTCTCTCCTCATGCAGTAATAAGAGCGGAGAGGTCAGTCCGTCGACCCTCTGAGGCCGACCAGCCAACTTTAAATATTTCACACTATTTTAAATGAGCGCACATGAATCATAGATCACAGGCGCTGGGCTGGTGTGTGTGTGCGTCAGCGTATGTGTGTGTGTGTGTGTGTGCGTCAGCGTGTGTGTGTGTGTGTGTCAGCGTGAGTGTGTGTGTGTGTGTGTTAGGTGCTCCTTCCTGAAGCTCCTTCTAATAACCTCTGG